TATTCACCCTAATGATCAGGAGAAGACAACTTTCACTTGCCCCTACGGGACCTTCGCTTATCGGCGCATGCCATTTGGGCTTTGCAACGCCCCTGCTACTTTTCAACGATGCATGATGGCGATCTTCTCTGACATTATTGAAGATTCGATGGAAGTGTTCATGGATGATTTCTCTGTCCATGGACCTTCCTTCGATGTTTGTCTGACTAATCTGCGTAAAGTTCTGGATAGATATTTGCAGGCCAATCTAGTGCCACTTCATGGTACAGGAAGGCATCGTCCTCGGACACAAGATCTCCGACAAAGGCATTGAGGTTGATAGGGCAAAAATCGAGGTGATCGAGAAATTACCGCCCTCGCACAATGTTAAAGCCATCCGCAGTTTCCTTGGTCACGCCGGTTTCTACCGTTGCTTCATTGAGGTTGATAGGGCAAAAATCGAGGTGATCGAGAAATTACCGCCCTCGCACAATGTTAAAGCCATCCGCAGTTTCCTTGGTCACGCCGGTTTCTACCGTTGCTTCATCAAGGATTTCTCCAAAATCACCAAACCCCTCACCGATCTCCTCTGTAAGGATGTGCCTTTCGTTTTCACTAATGATTGCCTTGCAGCTTTTGAAACGCTCAAAAAGGCGTTGATTTCCCCGCCCATCATTCTGTTGGTTTAGTGCTCTATGATGTACTGATTATGAGCTTTGTTCAGATACATTCGATGTATTGATACTTTCTATATGTTTTTTTATGAGTGTATTTTGTTCATTACATGTTCCTGCATGCTAGCTCTGTTATGAAATCCATGTATCATTATGAATTATACTAAACTCCCTAGTCTTGTGTCATTATGGGAATAACGACATAATAAGACTAGTATGATGTGTGATTGATGATCACATAGATGATCATAGGTATTGGATACGATCACAATCATAGGTATTCGTTGCAGAACGGAATACTGGACTGACCTGTATGAGATTGTCACATGGACTAGCGTCATGACTTGAATATCATACGACGATTCCATGATTGGATCCTAAGACCTGAGATATCTACAGAATCCAACGTGAGGAGTTGTGTGCTTTGATTACGTCAAACGTCCTGCGTAACAGGACGACTATAAAGGCGTGTATCAGGTACGAAACGAATCATGTACTGGATTGTAGATAGTCAAGACGGGATTTGTACTTCTCGTAAAAGAGAGAGATATCGTTGGGCCCCTCGTGTGAGCAAGACTGTAGAAATGTGTGGCCGCACTATAGACGAACGTCGTCTATTTCAGACAGTCAAACTCAGTTAACGAGAAAGCAGTCGAATCAGATAAGGTGGCTTGTCCATGCCTTATGTTCGACATATGATATCGCGATACAAAAGGATCATCAGTCGGAATCATCACTGGCTTTCGTATGATCACAAACAAACTCTATTCGAGATAGGTAGTCATAGTGTCTTGCTAGAGACCGCCTATGACTTGTATTACCGGAATGGAGATTCTGCGTTTTACTGCTATTCCGGATGAGCCTACAGGGTCACACACAATAGGGATGGACAAGTACTTGTGCTAAATTATCCCGATTAGGAATCCTAATTTGATTGAGATTCCTAATTGGAATAGGAATCCTAATGGGATTAGGAATCCTAATGGGATTAGGAATCCTAATGGGATTAGGAATCCTAATGGGATTAGGAATCCTATTATGTATAGGAATCCTAATGAGATTAGAATTCTATTACATCTAGGAAACCTAATGAGATTAGAATTCTAATAGGTTTAGGAAACCTAATTAGATTAGGATTCCTAGTAATCTATTCCTTGTCAAATTAGGATTTTTGGAAAGTCTATATAAGGAGAATGTCTTCTAGAGTTTTAAGGGAAGAAAAAAAAGAAGAAAAATAAAACCCTAAGCCTCCAAAAACCTTGCACACAAGAGAGATCGTAGGAAACGTGATCTGATCACGGAGAACTACCCTAGACCGTCCGTTATGGTAAGCCGGAACGAACGGTCCACGGGTGACGGACTAATTGGCACAGAACGAAAGGTTGGACCGTCCGTTCTGCCATGCAGAACGTCCGTTCTACTAGGCAGAACATCCGTTCTGACTTTTGCGTGAGGCAAGATGGAGAAATGGTGGTTCTCATAGCTTGAAAGTAGATGCTTGATCTAGGTGCGGTTTCGAAAATCCCTTATTTATGTAATGCTAAATGTGTACCTCCCATTACTAGAGCGCCTGTCAAGGCATCGATCGTCCATAACACGGGTCATGCCAAAGCTGAGCGTGCCGGATTATCTTTGTG